TTGGACAGAAATGATGGGCAAGACATGGTCTTGGCCTTCAAGAAACTTTCAATTCAATATGAGAGTCAGATATGAAAACAAATTAGCAACGCGAGACAGCAATACGAGTCACGTAAATAGCTTGTCCCACTTGCCACAGGGCCTTTACACATGCTGCTTCCTCTGCTTGGTTCACTCTGTCTTTTCCCCTTCACCTGGTTAACTCCTACACATCCTTCCTTATTCTAGCATCACTTCCTTTCCACGGGGAGAGGTCAGAGTTCCTCCTATGCACTCTTGTTACACACTCAGTTCCTTACCAGACTGAAAATTCCCTGAAGGCCTCCGGTTTATCTTTATTGCTTACCTTAGTACTCATCTACATGAGAATGTGTTTAGATGTCAATAGAAACATCCATTGAAATAACAGAAGGTCTCAAAGACAGGGAGAACCTTTTCTTGACTGACTGGTCCATGCATTGCGGGACTTCTAGCATCCCTTTGAAGGCTGATGCCCATAACAGGCATTGAGACAACCAGAAAATACCCGACAAACTTTCAGAGCACCTCTCTGGGGGTGACAACTCCCCCATTCGAGAGCCACCATTCTAGAAACCCAACGGAATTAGCTACATCTGAAGAGACTAACCTGCTGGGATGCAGAGCACAGGTGGAGATCGAGGAGTCACAGTAAAGCATCATTCCTTCATCCCTTCATTCGGTCAACATTTGTGTGTGTACCTGCATAGTCTGGGTGTTAGGGACTCAGGGGTGAGCAAAACCTGACATGGTCCCTACCTTTGTGGGGCTTCCTGTCCAGGATTATAATATAGGCTATAGGGAAGGTCTTTGATATTTAGATGGATAGGAGCTTGGCACCACCACTAGTCAGAACATGCTGGGAGAAGGAGTTAAAAACTTTGGCAAGACTTTGCACCACTTGACAGTGTTGCTGCGTTGTATAGGAGATGTTCCTGATAGTTCATTTTCATGTGTATACTCATCTGTCTGCCTATCTCAGATGAAATAGAAGACATACTTATCAGATTTGGAGATGAGAACAGAAAGAGAGAGCTCTTACACTGAATGACAAAAATCTGAAAAATCTTAAGTTGAAAGGGTGATTGGAAAATAACCAGAATAAATCAAATGAGGGTGAATGCTAAAAATTGGTCTTATCTGCCTCCAAATCCCTACAAATATAGGACAAAGGAGGCCTAGGTTAAGAGAAGTCGTATGAAGAATCCCTAGGTTTGGGTACCTCCAGGACAGCAATGGCATGTGGGGGCCATAAAGTAAATGCTATGTTGGCTATATTAAAAAAGTATTGGGTCCAGATGCAGGGAGGAGATTGTCTCGCCGCAGAGTCAGTTATTCCCGACCTGCAAATCATACTATTACTGTTACCGAGTCCCCCAACCTTCCCCATTATCGTTGCTCCTCCTACTCCATGAGCATCTTATTGACACCACGAAAATATCAGGGCTTTGAGAGAATGTGGGACAAAGCCCAGTGGAAGGGGAGTGGCCTCCCTATTCAGCTGTGCTTTCGAATCTCAGTCCCACCACTGTTTAGCCGAGTGACATGGGTTAAGTTAGTGCACCTTTCCGAACCTCAGTTCCAACACCTGTTAGGTAGAGATAACGCTAAGTGAGGATTAAAGGAAACAATTTATATATATTATAAGGTCGGCCTTCAATTTACTCTGAGTTTCCTTCCCTATAATTTCTGAGATTGAGAGCAATTTTATTTCTTCTTTCCTTTTCATCTAAATTTGATGAATGCTTAAAACATTCCAAGGAGTGAAAGCAAGGGTCTTGTTACCAATCCCAATTAGATATTTCAAAAGCCCCGTAAATCTTGGTGAATATTTTTTAGGAAATTGAAAGCTAAAATTGTATGGCCATGGCTCTAAAGAACACAGCCATCGTTTTCCTAAAGCCCTCGTGTAATGTTTCCAGTCTGCTTAGCAGTATGTGTCTATCAGTGATTGGCCTGTCATCGATTTCCTAACCCCGAATAATGCAGCTAATGGCTCCCATTCTTCCCAGCCAGGACTAAATGAAGAGGCCTGAGGATGTTGAAAGATGGCTCCTTGGCTTACGGTTCAGGAGCATGTTAATCCAAAGCATGAATGACATATACAGAATTCGAGTCTCTGGCTTTTGAGAATGGAATTAAGTATTGATTTCTGTACTATTCTCTTATTGTTTAATTAAACAAATAGTCACTGCATGTGTGCTGGCCACCTAGTCTCTTACTCATTAACAAGCAAAATGGGGAGACGTATGAGCTATCGCACACCTGTCATAGCTCTGTGCACTGGAAGCCCATGGCACCTTGACAATTAGGAGTGGAATTCATAGCTCATGTTCCACTTCCTGTTGAAGACCAACTCCATTCAGATCCTTAGTAAAGAACCCTTGTTCCATATCATCAGGTGAGAAGAATATGTGATGACTTATTTTGGGTCAACTGGACTGGACTTAGGGTAGCCAGATTCAACATTATTTCCAGGTGTGTCTGTGAGGGTGTTTCTAGATGAGATCAGCATTTGAATCTGTGGCCTCAGTAAAGTAGGTCACCTTGACCAGTGGTTGATGGCATCTAAGCCTTGAAGCCCTGACTAGAACGGAAGTCGGAGGAAAGAGGAACCTTCCCCATCTCAGCTCCTGCCCTCATTCTGGGAGTTTTACACCATCGGCTCCCCTGGCTCTTAGACCTTTGGACTCAGACTGAATTACACTGCAGGCTCTCCTGGGCCCTAGACGGTAGATGCGACTCACAGGATTTCTCAGCCCCAGAACTGCAGGAGCCAAATCCTCATGGTAAATATTTATATACACGTATCTGCTACTGGTTGTCTTTCTCTGCAGAACCCCAGCACATGACATTCTGATTTGCCTTATTTATCAGGGCACCAGGCACCCGTCTGGCTTAATTCAGCCCTGGAAGCAACCGGCAGGACTGAGGGGAGCAGGCAGAAGGTAACTGTGGAGGCAGAGTGAGAAGAGGCTGTGACCGAAAGTGTGTGTGTGTGTGGTGTGTGCGTTTGTGTATGTGTGGTATGTATGTGCGTGTGGTGTGTGGGGTGCGTGTGTTTGTGTGGTTGTGTGTGTGGTGTGTGTGTTTGTGTGTGTGTGTGGTATGTGTGTGTGGTGTGTGTGTGGGTGTGGGGTGTGGGGTGTGTGTGTGTGTGTTTGGTAGGAAGAACACAGGAAGTGGAAGGTTAGTATGTGTGGCAGATGGCATTATTTGTACACGATTCTTCTTTCCCTCTCGCCCTTGCCAAGATGTCATTGTGGGTGGAGTCAACTCTCATCCTCTGACTTAGGGCTGAGCCATGTGTCTTGCTTTGGCCAATGGACTATGAGCAGATGTAATATATGTCACACTGCACCAGAGTGTTTACACGTGCTTTCGAGGTTTGGCTTGGCTTCTTATGCCCCCAACTTATACCTTGAGAAGAACATGTCCCAGAAAGCCACTGGCCCTGCAGGAATGAAAGACCCATGAAGTAGATGGGGACCCGGTGACAGCCAGAACAGAGCTGAGCCTAGTTCACTCACTGATGAGTGAGAAATAAATACGAGCTGTGAGCGCTCCGCATCTCGGATTATTTATTACAACATCTGACGGCTACAGTAGCTGTTCAGGAGCTGGGGACAGGTGGAGAAGGGAGTGAGAATGGGGTCTGTCTCATAAGGTCCAAGCTTTAAGCCATGGGCTTTGTTTGAGATTCAGATGGTGGCTTCCTGCTAAATGCCCCCCCGCATCCAAAATGTATTTCCCTGTGACACTGTAACCGGTGCTCAAGGAGCCGTGGGTGAGGACTGTAATTGTAGCACTGTTTGTAAAGAGGAACTTAAACATCTATCCACAGGAGAAAGGACAAAATCTATGGGGCATATTAAAATTGAATGGAATATGAAACATAAGGCAAATTGAATGCACTGAAACCACGTATGTCCACATGGCTGCCTTTCACAAACAATGTGGAGCTGAAAATAGCGAGTTGTGAAATGATGCGGTCTAGATGAGAATATTTACATAAAATTAAAACCTAGAAACCAATCCCACGTATCGTTTATGTATGCATAAGTATGTACTAAAAGTATAAAAACACACATGAAGGAGAAACACCAAACTGATGATGGGAATCTCAGGAAAGAGAGGGGGGAGGGAAGAGTTTGGAGATGTTGGTGATGTTTTTCATTCCTTAAGAAAACCAGAGATTTGAGCAAATGTGACATTTGGCTAAGATTTGATAAAGCTGTGTAGGGGCACGCAGACATTTATCATCTCATTCTCTCTTTTTGTCTGTATGTTGAAAATATTTCAGATAAAATTGCTTTAAAGAAAGAAGTGTCCATGGTGCGTGATGTGTGGGAGGAGGACGAGGGATGGTGGTAGCGGTGGAAGCGGGGGTGTATGAGGAGAGTTGATGGGGACTGGGATGTCTGTGGCAGGCTGGGACCTCTGGGATGCTGACTCTGGGAGGGAGTTGACTCTGGGGGTGCCCTGAGATCAGCACTGTGTCGGGGGAGCAGTCTGGGCAGGGGACACCGAGGTGCCATGCAGCCTTGGCCAGCCCCCTGGGAGTTCTGCAGCTGGAGTGGCCCTCGGAGTTGTCCCCGGCTGAGCCAAGATGGCCGGGCTATCATACACCAGTGTCGATGGGTCACTGAGCACAAGCTGCCTGGGAAGGGTCTGACCTTGTGTGCGGCTGACTCTGAGGGGTGACAGCTGAGCCATCTGTTGACAGTACCACCAGCGGTTGGGGCATATTCTCATTGAGGGTGTCTGGGTGGCAAATGTCACCAAAGGTCACTTGGGGCAAATTCATGAAGGACTCAGGGAATCTAGACTTGGTTCTCTCAGCAACTGTCATTCTTTAGTAAACGTGATCGCTACACCTAGAATTTTAAATAACATTTAAAACCTATTAAATCTGAAAAAATTGCAAACTTGCAGAGGAGCCGCAAGAACAGAATGAATGCCCACATGCATGTGCGCCTTACCTAGAGTCATCGCTTCACATGTGCCCGTGACAAACCATGTCCTCTTCCTGCATTTTCTCAGCACGTCTTCTGCAGGCTCTGAGCTAGAAGCAGTTGCAGCCATCATGACCCTTTATTCTTTGATTCGTTGGCATGTATCTCCTAGGAACAAGGATCTCCTCTTCTATAATCAGAGCACGGAGATCAAGTTCAGGCAGCTTACTATTGAGCCAATGCTATTATCTAAATAATTACCGATACCCCATTATCCTCCCAAGCCATGACCCAGTCTAGGATCATTCATTGTATTTCAGAGTCATGTTAAATAGTTTCACAAAGGAATGATATTTTGTGCATGTTTTGAGGTTTCCAGTTTCAACTCTTGGGGAGCCTTGGCTTGGGAAGAGAAGCTATTTCCTCCCTACCTTAGCTTCATTCAGTGTAGGAGGGTCCAAGTCCAAGCCCCTTTCTGCATTTAACATTCCTCTGTCTGTACTGTCCCGAGGACACTAATGATGATGGCGGGGGGCGGGGGGAGGGGGCAGGAAGTTCACTTGGCCTGTGGCTCTTAGAGCCTTGCTGTCTTTCTCTACAGCAAGCAGGAGAGTGAAGCCACTGAGAAGCATAATGAGAGTTCTGGCCTCATGAGGGGTTCTCAGCCACTTGCACCTTGTTGGGTTAGAGGAATATGCACATTAGGTTGACCAGAGGTAAATAGTGATGCTTCTAAATCCGTGTAGCTACTCCCATCGTTTCCAGCCTCACAGGAAGTCCCTGCCATGCTCACCAGAACTGGTACCAAGTGCAGAAGCCCCTGACATTTCTACCAAACTTGCACCATCAGCTGGTGCCCTAGGTCATCTTCCACTATCAACCACGCCTCCGACTTCACACGTTCCTACGACTCTCACAAGCCTTTAGCCAGAAGCAGCATAAAATGTGCTCCAATATCTATAAAACTCATATAGTCATAGACGCCATCCAAGATGCTTCACACCCAAGTCACCATCCACATCACACATAACAATAATTAAATGTCCCTTTATAAAAATCCCTATTTGTTTGAGCAATTGTCATTGGATTTTCTGTTACCTGTGCCCAGCATTCCTAACTGATACATGTTCCTACAAGTACAGCTTGTCGGAACCTGAATTTCACAGCGACAGATGCTTGTTCGATCATCTGTTGCTACTAGCAACACCCTGCAGTCAGGTTCTGGCCCTGGAGACAGACTGCTTGCGCTCAAATCCTGGCTGAGTGACCTGGGACAAGTACTGAAGCCCTGTGAACCTCATCGGCAGAAATGCAGAGAATAATGTTACAGGAATTAAGTGAACTAAATGGACTAGTGGTTACCAGAGGGGAGGGGGAAAAATGTTAAAAAAAAAAAAAAAAAGAATGAAATGAACTAATCAGTAAAGCACCTTGACAGTACTGCGGCCTGGCAAGTACGCACCAAGCTAGCAGCTGGCATTACTACACTACCTGCCGGTCCTTCCAGAAATGGCCCCTGCGTCTGGGCCTGATCTCTCACGCAGAATGAACAGGGTAACCAAAATGCAATCACGCTATCTTTTGCACCAATTAAAAATATTAATCAATGGAAAAGATCAATGACCATATCCTTAAAACAGAACGATCCTACAAAACAGAAAGAAAAATTAACAACCCAATTTTTAAAAATGGGCAAAGCCCTTATGCTGGCAATTCACAAAGAACCAAAAATGACTGAGAAATAATCACGCGTTCCGCTAGTAACTAAAGAAATGCATCTTAAATCAACAGAGATAAATTTTTAGCTATCATTTTACAGCATCGGGCCCCAGTATTGGTGAGACTGCAGGAAAATGTGCCTTTTCCCACACTGCCGGTTGGATTCAAAATTTCTATCACCCTATGGTCAAATTGGCAACATCTATAAAGGATTTCCAATTATTTAGCATCTATGAATTTATCTTAAGGAAATAATGATAGAGGTGCAGAAAGAGCTTCAAGAGTGTTCACTGCCTGCTGTTTATAGCAGTGAACAAGTGGATTCAATCTAAATGTCTAACAAAAGCGATCATTTACATAAATTCATGCACATCCACACTATGAAAAACTTCCTACCTTTACACAGTGGTAGAAAAAAATGTTTACGGATACAAAGTGTTCACAATTTATTGTTCAGTGGAAAAAATAGTTTAAATGAAAAATTGTATATACAGTATAATCCCTTTTGGTAAAAACTGAAAAGAGTGTTTATACAAAGGAAAAGTATTTAGAATAGTACACCCCCAAACTTTAACAGCCAGTTATCTCTGGATAATTTTTATTTCCTTTTGCTTTTTTATATTGTCTAATTTCTCTGTAATTTTATAGGAAATCACATTTATTTTTAACAAATAGAAATAAGTGGTGATTATTGTGGGGAACAGAATTGAATAGGTATGGGTAAAATACTTCTTTTTAATATACTTTTTAGAAAAGTGGTAATAAAGGTAGTTTTCTCACTTTCTTTGGAATCTTCTAGTCCTTTTCAAAATTAGAAAAGGATCCAGTTGTGTATGTAGACAGCATAAATTCTGCCAGGGTTGTTTAACAAATTACTAATTAAGGTCCTGACACATGATGCTAGGCAGTCTTTCTGGCTGTCTGGGAGTTTCAGCTTTTGTCCTGTCCTAAATCCCACAGAAAGTGAAGTCATTTGCTTAGCTGAGTATTCATTACATAATAAGTTGAATGTAGCCACTGAAAATACTCATGCAAATATCTTCATTAGTAAAATCATGCAATTAACCTGAAATATGTGCTAAATGAAGCAGCCAAATTGTTGCATATTTTCCCAGCTCTTAATTATAATTTTGGTAATCAATTTTTCTCCTGATTACCAAAAAGAAAAAAAAAAAAGAAATCTTCAGCATATGCACGCTCTGAGGATGAGTTGGAACGCTGAGATAAAACCCTCGAATCGCTTTAGTAAAGAAGGCCATTAACCTTTCCTGTGTTTTTGTTCATCGCAGGCATTTCCTGCTAATGCTCATTGCTGAAGATGATTGGATTTTAACAAGAGCTTTTTGGATCAAGCGTCAGCCCTTCCTGAACTGTACATTTTGCAAGCGCCACTGTCATTAAAGGTTACCAGCACTTCCATTATCAACTTTCCAGTGTATATTTCTTAAATGACTTTTGACTGCAGGGTAAAAATTTTCCCTAAGTGAAAACTGACATCCAGCTCACAAACCGATTTAGTCAGATGTCCCCGAATGCCCAGCTGCCGTATGAAAAGCAGGAGGGATGGGGAGCTGTGAGCCCTGGTGGACACGTCTCCCATGGCCTTTGCTCTCTTATCCCAGTTTACTGAGCTGTCAGGGATTTGAAGGTGGGAAGAACCACACAGTAGAGCATTTCACAAGGTGACCCTGGAGGAGCGGCTTAGCCATAAAATTTTATAAATTCTATGTAAAATGGGGGAAAGGATGAATTCACAAGCTAGTAAGGGTTGAGATAAGAGAGGCCAAGTCTCCAGCACAAGTAGAGAAAATAACCACCAACATTGAGGTTGACACCTTTTAACTTCCCCCTTTCCAGCTCCTCAAACAGTCAACCTCCATAGGCTCCCTCCTAAGGCTAAATAAGAATTTATTGCACCTGGACAGAACAGGACAGGACAGGACAGGACAGGGTGGGCAGTGCTTCATCTTTCTAGCAAAATATTGATTTTGACCACCTGACCCTAGGGTTCCTCCCCAAATGCAGAAATGCCTAATGCTTAGTTGTGGGAGTAGAGCTGAGGAGACACATATACGATATCCAGGGAAAAGCCAGGAAGGCCGGGCCTGGAATGCAGGTTGTACACTGCGCAAAGATGTCCTCAAGGAGAGCCTGCCATTTACGGCAGAGGCACTGTGAATCTGTATATTTATCCTGACAGTGTTCTAAGTCCCAAATCAGTAGATTATAGTGCTTTTCTGCCAGGTGGAGGTAAAGTATCCGAGGAAGGGGCAGCTCTTTCTAAGTTGCACAAAGACACTATATAGCTGCTCCCCGAGAAAAACTTTCTCCTGATGACTCTGCCAGTTTGCGGGGAGAACAGGAAACAAGTAGGGAGCAGAGGGGAAGATCAGATGCATGGGTCCTTCAGAGGAGACCCTCGTTAGGGACTTACGGGGGATCCTGAAGGTGGAGAGCTTCTGCCCTGGTTCCTTTTTGGGATCTGGAAAGGGGCTGCATCCCGGGTGGTCCTGGCCATATCACAGTGAAGGTGGTGATGCAGTGAGACCAGAAGGACAGGCCTTGAGTATGTGGCAGGCTCCTGCAGATGACAGATGACCCATTCAAGCTGGGGACTTGGCAGAGATGTAGGCAGGGCCTAGAGAAGGCAGGGAGGGGTAGTGTAGGGCCTGAAGCCAGAAAAGCAGGGAGCCATGGCACTCCTAGGCCTGAACGGGCATGGGGAGGGGGCTGGATGGACAGGGTGGGAGAGAGGACCCAGCAGGGAGGGAAGCAGAGACTAACACTCAACTTCACTGTCCTCCTTCCCTTTGTGTGTGTGTGTGTGTGGTGGTGGTGGGGGGTGGTTCTCAATGTAAACCAAGTACATAACAACAGCTAGACTTGACCCTGACTGTCTGCCTCCAGAGCCCATGCTGACCATTAGGCTCCACTGCCAATCCAGCAGGAGGAATGCTCTAGAAAGGGTATGCGCAGCACTACTTGGCAAAGCAGAGTGGGTGGCTACGCCTGTCAGGGAAAGTATATGGGAGAGATCTTGTTCCAGGTGGTCTACGAACTAGAATTTTAGGTGCCCGAGAATGGAGGTGGAGCTCAGATGGAGAGCCTGTTTGGGTGGGAAAGAGGGGGACATATTCAGGACTGGCAGGTCCTTCAAGGTGGCTTGGTTGGGAGAGTAACAGGAGAGAAGGTGACTGGGCAGAGTTGTGCTCATCTTCACCCCATCAAGGACAGAATAAGTACCATAGAGATACCTAAATTCTAGAACTCCCCTCGGAGCATGTCAGCAGATGTGTCTTCTGCCTTCCCAGAAAATGTCCCTTCTGAAAAAAAAAATGTTTCTTCTGGAAAACCTCTGATAGTAAGATACAGAAAAGGTGAAGGTGTGTGTATGTGTGTGTGTGTGTGTGTGTGTGTGTGCATACGTGCATGCGTGTGCTTATGAGCATCTGTGAGGGGTGGGCAGAAGAGGGGGAAGGGAACAGGGGGAAGGAGGGAATCATTAAATCAAACCTTTCTCTAATATTGAATCCCAGAAACTTAGTTAAACAATTATCATACCCTCTTATAATAGAATGTCTTAGAGCCATGAAAAAAGTCTACTTCTAAAAAATATTACAGATCAATAACACTTTTAATGATAGATGCGTAAGTCCTTAATAAAATTTTACCAACCAGCAAAAAAACAACTCATTAGAGAAAGTCATCCAGACCGAATTGGCTTTGTTCTTAACATAATTTATCACTAAATAAGCGAAAACGTTTAAAAGCATTAATAATCGAAGCAGAAAATTTGAAAAATGATTTGATGTCCCCTTTTCATAAAGTCTGGAAAAATAGTGGTTACAGGAAATTTTCCATTGACATGGTAACATTCTGCATTTGAGATTCAAATCCAGCAGATATGTAGGAATGAGCACACATCCATTCTGCTCTTGGCGCTGTGCCAGGGCCTTGGTGGCCTCGCCCTGTCCTTACAGCAGTGTGCTCAGTCCTACTCCGCCTGGTCCCACAAGGCCCCTTTGGCTTCACCTCCTCCCTGCTTCCCTCTTGCTCACCTGCTGGCCTTCCTGCTCTCCTGGGGCAAACCAGCTTCCCTTCTGCCACAGGATCTTTGCACCGATGGTGCCCTCTCCCTAGAACACTTACCCCTGCCCTGGATATCCCTGGAGCTGGCTCCCCCATATCTTTGAGGTCTCAGCTCAAATGTCACTGTCTCCTTAGGGAATTTCTTGAGGTCCCTATGTAAAAATACTAGCAAGGTCCACCCCAACTCCCCACCAGGGTGGTCCATCTCGGCTCCCTGCCTTTCTCTCCATCTCCTGCACACCGTATACTGCCGTGTTGGTTGTCAGTCTCCTGCTGCGAGGGCCCTGAGGGCTGGAGCTTTGTTAGCTGCTTCCCCAGGGCCCAGAACAAGCCAGGCACAGTCACTGCTCAGGGAGTATCTGTTGCATGAACGAATGAGCAGGCCAAGGGGCTGCCCCGTGGGAGAGGAAGCAACATCTGCAAATTCCCCATTTCAAACCTCTTTGCTTAGGGAGTCTGTTTGCTTGCATTTAAAACATTTATTTTTGAAAAAGCAAAATATGTACCTGGAATACAATTCTAAAGAGACATAGATTTAAGTGTACACAGTGAACGCCAAGACCCCCACCCCGTCTAGGGAGACCCTTCCCTTGCCAGTCTGACAGAGGGGAGATGCAGCTCATCTGTCAATGGAATTTGCATTTCTCTTTTCCTGTGAGACTGAGCTTCTTCTCATAGATTTAAGAGCAGTTAGTGTTCACTGTTTTTCCGGGGACTGTCAGTCTTTTTCTTATTGATTCATAGGAGCTCTTCGCTTATTAAAGAAATCGGTCTCTTGGATATGCAAACCGTTTTCCATGGTTTGTGTTGTTTACCGCAGAACAGTTTAATTTTCCTGTCAAAGGTATCGCTCTCCTTTATGGTTTCTGTTTTGTGTCAGACTTAGGAAAGCTTTCTTTTCAAAGATTATACCACCATTCTTCTGCGTTTTCTTGACTTGCTTTTTGATAATGTATGTTGCCATGCAGATCAGGAGCAGACTTGTCCCTCTGTATTCCATGCAATAGGACAGGAAGTTATATCTAGATTTTACCACGAGCCCATAATATCTGTCCCAGGAAAATCACCAAAAAGATAACCAAAACACCATGTTTGTGGTTAGGGGGTATTTTCAGTGGTTTCTACGGGGGCTGGGCTGCAGGTGTGGGCGGAAAGGCTTCCTATGGCTGCCCTGTTGGTGGGGAGCAGGGTCACCTTGGAACTCTGGGAAGTGTCAGCAAGTAACGATTCCGCCCTCAGGCACAAGGCTGGAGGTGGCCTGGGGGCATCTCTGGATGTTTCGGGACAGAGCATTTGATACAGGACAAGGTGACTTGCCCTATCCTGAGGGAAGACACTGGGAAGGTGAAGCCCTGTGATGGGTCTCTCGCATGTAGTGTTCTGGACCATTTATCTCATTGTGATTTAAAAAAAATCCAAACCTGAGGTAATGAGAAAGTCCACTTGAGGGTGGGAGGGTCTCTCAGTCCTCTTTCCACCCCTGACTGCAGTGGGGTCTGTTCTGCGTCAGCCACCTCTTGGCTCGCTCCTCTCAGGCCTTTATGCCAACTAGTCTTCTGATAAAGGCAATGCTCCCCAATTCTGTGCTTGTTTTTCTTCTCTCCACTCCCTCTTCCTCTCCCTATGGGTAATTTCCTCCCAGGTGGCCACAACGAGCCTCCACAGACTGATCGCTTCCCGACACATTATCTCTGCTGTATGCTGGCTTTTAAAGCCAGATGTTCTGAGGCAGAGGTCTAACTTGGAGGAAACTAGGGAAAATATTTTAGTTACTTGTTTTTTTTAAAAAAAATAATGACTTTAGAGTTTTCATAAAATGATACATGGTTAAGCTTTTGAAAAGTTGAGCAATGTATAAAAGTACAAAGAATAATGCCAAAGAAAAAACACCCTCAGTATCCCCGGCCCTCCAAATAATCGTCATTATTACTGTTAGGTCTGTGCCATGTAAAAAGCCAAATCATACGCTTTGTTGAAAATAGGGAATTTTACTCTAATACTATTTTTAATGAGAAAGCATTTGATTTTACTTAGATTTGACAATAAAAGAATCTGAAGTTAAACTAAAAAAATTGCCTGCTGTAGGACACACACACACACACACACACACACACACACATACACGCACAATCAAAAGAAACAAGTTCACTATCTCTTTAAAGTTAAGAAAGATTATTATAAAAATCGTAGAAGCTGAAGTCATTAACTTTTTCTTAGACTCCATGTTTTAACTCTAGATGGTATTTATCAATTCTGTGGCATGAAAAATGAGAAAATTGGCCCATTTATTTTTTTCTTCCTACTCCTCTCTCTACCAGCCCCAGGAAATAGGTTTAAAAAAGAAAACTGGTTTTTACAGTAGTTGATTAACAAATAATTACGCCATATAAATCCTCAAAACTTAACTATTGGCTGAATTTAAAATATTGAAAATCTGGAGAGTAAAGTAAATTAGATAATTACAATGTGACACTTGAATTAATTAATCTGTTTTGTCTCCTCAGCTCTGTCTTGAGGCTGAAACGGGAGAAGACACGAACATAATGCAATGGCTTTGAAGATTCTCTGCCTTCTGGTTTTGCCTCAGGAGTAAGAACTTGATACAAGTGGAAAATTAAGATTTCTGTTATACATGATAAACTAAAGAATTCCATAGAGTTTAAATTATTGTCAGTATTTCCAAACGGCACTTTTTATCCGTGGTAGTGGGAAGGAGAAGTATCAACCTTACTAATAACTACAATAACCAGTTTGAGCGTAATTTCCTGCAGTGTATTAATGGACAGTTTAGTTTTTATAGCAGTCAGGGGACCTGGACTAAAATTTGGATGTTCTTTTACAATCCATAGAAAAGACATGACAAGTTGTTCTAATGCAATTAGAAGATTATGTCTGATCACATTTTTCTTTCTAAGCACATAGTCTATGAAATCAGCAATTAAAAAGAGATCATGGTTGCTATAACTTGATCCTCCTACTCTGTGGAATTAATTTGTCCAACAGAATAAAAGGGTTGCATCCTTCATATTTCTCATGTACCCATTCATTTATTCATTCATCAATTCTCTTTTGCTCATGGACTCATTTATTCATTCAACAAATATTTACTGAGCATTTACTAGTGCCAGCCCTATGCTAGGCATGAAGGAAACAACAGTGAATGTATTAGTGTTTGCTGGGTAACAAGTCACCCCAAAACTTAGTATTGGACTATAGCTTAAAACAACAGTGATATTTCCTTACTCATGATCTTGTGGGTTGGCAAGGAGTTATGCTGGTCTCGCCTGGGCTCGCTCATGTGCCTACATTCAGCCGGAGGTTCAGCAAGACTGGAAATCCTAATATGGCCTCACTCACTGGATGGTGGTTGGTGCTAGACATTGGTGGGTGACTCAGTTCTCCTCCAGGAGGAGATTAGGTTAGACTAGCTGGGTTCACCTAGTTTTCTTAAAGGGCAGCATTCCACAGGAATGAGAGTGGAAAGGACTCTTAAGACCTAGCCTCAGATATTTTGAATGTCACTCATGAAGCATTTCGTGGTCAAAGTGAGTCATGAAGTCAGCTCAGATTCAAGCGGAGGGGAACTAAGGCTCCATCTCTGGATGGGAGGACCGACAAAATCACATTGCAAAGGGACGTGTATTTTAGGATGACAGGAATTAGGAGCCATTGTTTGCAATTCACCAAAGTGAATAAGATGGATGCGGTTCCTGCCCTCCTGTAGCTGATGGTCCAGTCATAACAGTCACAATAGCTCACACTTGTTCAGTTCTCACGATACAACATGTCAGGGACTGTCCTAAATGATTTACAAGTACTAAGATAGTTAATCCTCACAACAATCCTTACAACATAATAATATGAGCCCTATTTTTAACATCAATAAACATAAAGAGGTTATGTGACTCTGGGGGTCTAGGAGAGATTGATATTGAATAAATGAAACATGTATGAAAGCCCAGGTGGTCTGTCCACAAGTCTACTTATATTATTTACTTTGAGTTAGGAATATTTCTAGTTTAACGGAATTAACTAAACAATGGTTGTATAATCACAGTTATATTAAGTATGAAAAAGGATGGGACATGGTGCCGTCAGAGCATGCATATATCACGAGGTGACTTGTCCTATCCTGGGGGTTGTTATGGTGGCTTTTGCACAGAAGATGTTCAAACTCTCATCCGAAAGATACAAGAAATAGCAAGGGGAAGGGAGCGGGGGTGGGGAGAAGAGAAAGATCCATGAGCACAGTCACCCAGAGGCAGAATTTTGTTTGAGAATCACCACTGTCAACACTGGAATGAAATCTAGACCAGGTAAAGTCACCATGCCGGGCGGCAAAGCAGGAAATGTCATCTGTAACAGAAGCATTCACCCATCCTAGGAAAATCGCTCAGAGATGTTGATAATCTCTGTACGAAATTTGAAAGGCAGATGCCAAATGGGAAAAAACAGTAATGTGTGTTCATTGAATCATTCATTCATTCAACTATTGAGTACTTACCAGAGGCTACAGTTCCAGATTATTTTCCAAGCATCTGCCTAAATAAATTCCCATATAGAAAGTTATTTTGGGGGGCATTATCTAACATGAGTTTAAACTTGATTAATTTTTACCACATTTTTTTTCCCTCCACGTGTATTGTCATTGTCTAATCATTGTCTAATCCACGTGTATAATCATTGTCAGTATTGACCGGTCTTATTCATTTTTTCGAATGTATGTTCACTCTTGTTTATTTAAATATTGAAGGGTTTTAAGTTGTTTATAATTTTCTCCTATCATGACCAGTGCTACTGGTACCTCTTTGTTCTTGTCTCTTTCCATGTAGGTAAGTTTTTTTCTAGTCTAGCATCTAGAAATGAAGTTGTTGCATTCTAAACATTTAAATAGCTACTGCCACCATATCTTCCGATAAGGCTGTACCAATTTATATCTTATGAACCTATTGTGAGAGTATCCACTCCTTTGCCAATATTAGATATCATCATTCGTTGAAATATTTAACAATCTGAAAGGCCAACAAAACCAACACAGGAACAACCTACACAAAACACCACCACAAAACAAATGAAAAAACCCAACAAAAATCCTTATCTATTATTGCTGAGTTAGTGTGAATTTAAATTGTCTTAATTTTTAGTGTAGTCCTTATTAATTTTAAAATGGCCATGTTTATAAGACATGGTTTCACATTTCAGGAGTAATTTGCTTGGGGAATTTGCCCAGTTTTCTTTAAAAGTTTGTGGATAAACTGAGGGTTAAATTGCCTCCAAATGAAGTTTAAGGTTTATAGCAAAATGTTTGGTTCTAATGGGTATCAGAGTAACAGCTCAGCGCAATTTCAAAGTACTTATAAGGCTCCTATCAGAATAAGAACATATATGAACAGGGAATCCATGATATGTCTAGGGCTTATTCGTTACAGAATTCTTTAGGGGATAATAATACAAATTGGTGGACCACCTTTCCTCCTGAGCAGAATATGATAATATTATACTCCTTACATTCATCAAGATAGGACGGTAATATCTTATGTTGAATGATGCAGGTTTAATCATTTTAGAATCAGCAGGAAATGCAGACATAAAACCACATGAAATATAAACTGGGCTTTTGACTGGGGCTGGTTTAATAAAAGCCATTATGTTTTACTTTATACCTAGACATTTATATTTTAAATTTAATCAAGTTGAAGTCTTAAGTGGCATAATCTTATTAAACATGGAATTGATTGAATACAATGTTGGTTTTATTTCTTTAAAAATTACTCCAGATTGGACTGAATTGATTCTAAGTGCTTGGGACAGAAACATTTGGTGAAGTCATTGGTAGGAACGGAAAATATCCCCAGTAAACTGGGTTCTTATTCTTACATAATTTCCCCTCTCTGAAGACTCATATTTATAATAAAATTGTGTTTTCTGTGGTGGTTTTGGGGTGTGATTACTAGAAAATTGAATTTATGAAAATAATCATGTAATGTTAAATCCACATAAAGAATTTATCTCTTGCACCAAGCTATCAATTGATTCCACCTCTCAAAATATACGTCTGATTCATCCAGTGCTCTTAATGTCTGCTGCTTGTCTCGGGCACCATCATTCCTCGTCTGGAACACTGTGGGAGCATCCTAGGAGTCTTCCAGCATCCAGTCCAGCTCTGGCTGTGGATATGGTTTGGTACCAATCCTGTATCCATCTCCCTCCTTGCTAAGTCTTCTTTGCTTAGAACACCCAAGAATTCAAGGGGGAGTGACCCCATCTCCAACCCAGGAGTAGATTTTGGTTAGTCGGAGCCAATTAGGGTAGCCTCATTTTCCTTGCAGTGAATAGTCTGCAGGAAGTACATCATCCAATTGTGGCCAATGGGCCATGAGGAGGAATTCTGCCAGAAACTTCTGGAAACAGTTTCTTCATTCCTAAAAAAGAGTTACTGGAGCTGTTGGTAGTCTTTCCTTTGAATATTGTTGCACCTGAATGTGATTCCTGGAAGGAAGGGCCCTCATCTTGCCACTAGCCCAAGGACGAGACCTACATATTGGAGGTAAAGTGGAGTTAGATCCCCTAAAATTAAAGTAAGTTGGTCTGGAGCCCAGAGATATGAGCCTGAGTCAGCTCTACTTCTGTGCTCCATGAAACAGAGCTGTGCATTTTTCTTCTTCTTTAAGTCGTCTGGAATTGGCTTTTCTATTATCTGCGGGAGAGCACCTAATGCTTATGGTACTCACGATTTCCTCACCCTGGCACTGTAGGGGAAGGTTATAAAAAAACACAAGAACTACCAAGTCAGTTCTCAGCTTAACACCTCTCAATGGCTTCCTGTGTCTTTTAGAACATATTCCTGATACGGTCCTTTGCCATCTGTCCCTTGAAAAGTACTCTAGCACTTACTCAATGTACCTTCTCTCTGTCTTGGGGCTCCAGTCACAGAGATTCTCTCTGAGCTGCTAGAAGCTCCAAGCTTCCTCGTGCACGAGGTCACCTCTTGCCGCAATCATCTTTCCATCCTTTGCCCAACTAACTCTCTCAGCTCCTATAAAATCTTCATGGGTGCCCTGCCCTCATACATGTAAAGTTCCCCTTTTACAGGTCCTTATACCACCCCTGTAACCCTATCCCAGCTTCTCAGACTTCTCTTGTTGACAGTTTTGAGGAGTACTGGGTTGTATATTTTGTAGAATGTTCCTCTACTGAAATTGGTTTGGTGTTATCCTCATGATAAGAGTTTGGTTATGAGTTTTTGGGACAAAGACTTTCAGAGTTACAACGCCCTTCTCATTCACCAGGGTGCATGCTATCTCCATGACTTAACACTGTTGATGTTGACCTTGATCACCAGGTTTGTTTGAAAGGTTTTACGACTGAACATTATTCTTTTCCCCTCCTCCATCCTGTAGTCTCTGGGAGGAAGTCACTCTGTGCAGCCCATACCTAAGGAGTGGGGAATTTTGCTCGCCCATAGTGCAGTTTTAAGAAAAGCTTGGCAGGGCTGCTGAGAGTACAAATGCCAGGGGCGTCTATGAGAGTCCTGTGTCTTCCAGAAATGGGACAGGCTCAGTATTCCTGCCATACTCCATCCTTGGCTGGGCACAGCCTGTGGCAATCATGCCCCTGGTGCAGATGTGGCAATGGACTTCAGGATGCGGCAGCTGGGGCTGTGGAGCCATCACCGTCCCTGTAGTCAGAGATCTGTGAGGTGCCTCCTCATGCAAGCCCAGGCTGCAGACAGAAGCCCGCGCAGTGATCCTTTGACAGTCCCAGCCGAGGTCTCAGCCAACCGCCAGACAATGCCTCAAGCCTCTGCTCCTTCCCAGCAGAGGCCCCAGACATCATGGAACAGCAACACACCCTTCCTACTAGACCCTATCTAAAGTACCAACCCACAGAATCTGGGAGCATTAAAAAATGGTTGTGTTACGCCGCTAGGTTTTGGGGTGATGTGTCATGCAGCTCTGGTCATGTGAATACAGCCCACCCTCACTTCTCTGAGACCAGCCTGTCCTCTAATAACAAACTCTATTTTTGCTATGTGGCTATGGTGGCTTCTGTGACATCCACCCTGAAGCTTCTCATGAAAGACCTCTCCCGGCCTGCGGTTTAAGCAGCCGCTGGCGCTACTGGAGCCACTGGTAAGAGATGCTGAAAAGAATACTCTGCTCTGGACAGTAGCAAAAACTAGACACCCACGAGGGCTCGTCCAAGCCTGGGGCTCGGTCTTCCTGGACCACGCGAAGGGCATTTCCCCTTCTCGGTGAAGGCAATCTTAATTTATCTTCAACCCTGAAAATGCTTCTGTGGGAAGAGATTGGGCCACTGCGGTAG